ATATAAATTACAATTTAGTGCAAATCATATAGGTAGATAATTCTTTCTTTTTTGGAATTGTTTTTAAACAATTCTTTTTTTCTCTTTTTTTGTTATTTACAAATTGTTTAGAAATTAATTATCCAGTCATATGTAGTGACTGGTTCCGAATAAAATTATTATTATCATCGATTGTACTTTTCACAGGTCTTAGGCGACTATTAGTGAAAATTCGATCGTTGGTACAACTGCAAAATTCAACTGGATTTTGCTCAGACTTCAATTGCTCAACGCCGATATTTAATTTACTCTCAACATTGTCCAGGTAATGTAATCTTCTATTACGTATAGCAAATAATTTTTTTTCAGTATTTTCCATGGTAGGTTGCTTTTCGTTATGGTAAGTTTCCCAGCAATGTTGGAATTTTGTGAGGATATTATTCCAAATGCAAAATTCTTCAACTGAAATATAAATATATTGAAACTCAATTATTATTGCGTAAAGCTTGAATCGTTCGTATTAAACAAAATCATTTTTCAGATCGATCATATATATCCTTGTACCGTATAGAAAGAAAGTTGTAAGTATAAAAGTTGCAGTAGGAAGGGTAACATTAGGTAGGAGCTCGTTGGCTAAATGGAATAGCGCCGGCCCTTCATACACAACCATTCCTGTCATGGTATTCATCAGCCATGGCAAATATAAATAAGGAACGCCATATTTATCAGCAAGCGTCATCATTATCGTGGTTATTAGTCCTGTGACTATGTTCGTTACCAGTATTATAATTTTCAAATCTGCAAACAAATCTCCATTTCGTCGAAAATATTCAAATATCACAATAGAAAATACAAATTTAAGAATTAAAATTCTATACACTGTAAGAAGAAAATTCATATTTAAGAATCATCTTCTTGTTTTTTATTCTTAATATCAAAATTCTTAATATCAAAGGGGTAGGGAACTTAAAGATATAAAGGAAAAGGAAAAAGATTCTGTAGCTTCTCTTAACTCAATGTATGACTAAAGTATTATTACTATAAGTTCGTCGAAAAAGCGCATTAAAAGCAGCAGATTTGGTGACTGGGTTTCCAATGGGAGAACGACTTCCGACTTCCAAAGTAATACAACTTAAACAATGTGTTGCGAAACACATCAGTGCCAGATATAGTGCTTCTACCTATGATAACGTTACGTAACATGATATTAACATTAACAGGAAACACGATGCTTCTTGTTATGTTCTTGTTTAATTTGTTAATGTCCTTCTATACCCTGGAGAAATTCTTCGTACGATGATTACTGTTGTTCTCCTTCTGTTTCTCTGTGCACGTGTAACTAACATTTTCTCCCAATTTTAATTGCATTATAACTGCAGTTCATTGACTTATTTATACATGATAGAGCTTTTTGGTTACCAGCAGTCAAACGTTATCCACGTGATCTTTGAAAACGTATATATTAATAAACAAACGAAATTGTCATAGGTGGTCTGCAATTTCAAGTACGTCGCACGGTTTTCTTTTATTATATTCCAACATCGTGTACAAGGTTTTACAATAATTTCAATCACCCGAGATACGCGAATTCTCCCCTGAAATTAGCATCCTTTCCTCTTATATCGAACATTCAGTGAGATTTTCGAACTTGTCTGTGAAACAAACAGAACACTTGAAGCCAATTATGTACGGTCAGGACGGCTAGTAAAATTTCGTCCCGTTTTATGTGAAGCCCGTCCAAAAACACCTTCACGCTGAATACGATCATCTCCACGATAATCACGCATAATTGCATTAATAGCCAGGGTGTATGCAACATTGGGTATTCCTAGAAAAATATCGTTTCGTTCGAAATTGTTCGAGGAAAATTTCATCGAATCACTCACTGTAATTGCGCCCAGCATGATTAAAGTGTAGTGTTCTATTCCCAGAATCGAAGTCATTAACTTTAGATCCCTTTCCACATCCAAGGGAACTATTAGCAGGAGGATTAATTCGTATCAAATTATTCATTTCAATAAACGTCAAGGCAACTTATCGTTAGCAACCTACCAGTTTCTTTATTCCTGGTTTGCGATGATGACCTTACCGGTATCTTGCAATTAATTATTCGGATGATATCGAACGCTGTAATCACCTACCAATTACGCAAATGTCGTCAAACAAATTTTTCTTTCGCAAAAATCGACATAATTTGGAATAAAATTTAATACATGATGAATCGAATATCCCGAGTTCACGAATCTTCGTCAACGATGAGATAGATTCGTGAACCCCGGTGTTCTATTATGCAGAAACAATTAAGGAATATTACGATCGACTAACGGTCCCAATGAGGCCGAGTATGATCACGTAGATCGAATTTCCCATGATGTAATGGTCGCACAGGGTGCACGCTAGCTGTCCAATACGCTGAAAAATAGTTGCAAAAATTACTCACCTATTTTCCAATATTACCCAAATTATTATCGATACCTAAAAATACTAACTACATGTCCGCTATGCTCGTTGGTTTTTCGTCTACATCGAAATTTCATAGTTATACTCGTACGCGAATTTGATGGCAAAGTTAACCAAAGAAAAGGAAAGAAAAATGACCAGGACCTTTGATACTCTGTTTCAACGAGTTCACGAGTTATTAATTTCGAAAATCAATCTGCCTTAATTTCAAAAGGCAAATTCTTAATTACTCCAACGCAATTTCCTCGCGATTCAAGGATTTATATTCCGATCAGGTTTTCGGCTCATTTGCATAACGATAATTGCACCGTCAACGACGTATAGGCAACGCGTGCACACACGCACACGTGTTCGCATACTCACCGAATTTTTGTTCGTGATCAACGTTTTCAGAGTGGTAAGAACGGAGCGTTTGCGACGTCGTGCCATTTTCTCAGCTCTCGTACGCTTCTCATAGCCGAGATTCGCGCGCGTTTTCACCCGGCTGGAAAATTATTCACCGAAATTTTCCTCGGAGGTTATACAGTTTGCACCCTACAATTTCGATATATTAGGCTCAACGAACAATTTGAATAACGTTATATAAACGCTTGGTACCGCGTTTCACTTCAAGGTGCCTGGTCACGTATCTTCCTCTATGTCTGTTGGGAAAAAATTAAAAAATTCTCGCTATGAACAAATATCCTGGAAAAATTCAATCGTTGCGAAACGATGTGAGATCTTCGAAATTATTCGGCTGTTTACTCGAAGATGAATGATAATACCTTTGCCATTTTTCAGGAGATCGATTACGAGCTCTCATCGAGGAAATTCAAAGTCAGTTATCCCCCAGTAGACGAAATAGCTACAAAGCAGGACAATGTCGGCCGTAAGAACGCCTCTGAGAACGAAATACTGCAAATTTGTCAAGCATTGCTCCTGTCCACGTGTATGCTACTCTTGAGTTACCATAGTGTCCGTTATGGTCGGACCGAGTACAGTATCTTGGAAAATGGCGAGATCGCTCAAGGCTACGCTAATAAGGCTGTAATCACTGTGAGCCTAGGCTATTCTATGCCATACGCCGTTCTATCTTTCCTGGCTATTGGCATGCTCGCTTATTCTCTGCTTTCGGTGAGAACACTTCATTATCTGCGTTATTTACGCGGATCAGCAACATTGTACGCGAAACTGCGACTCGAAGCGCGTCTAAATTTAACTCTGTTGTTTTCTCATTCTGTTTTGAAGGAAATGATACGCGACTGGGATATAAGACACGATATTTCCTTCGATGTGTTTGTTTTTAATAATCGCTGAATATTGTAGAAAAAGCCACGTTGGATCCTTCCGTCCATAATTCTCTATCTGGCTGACCTCGTCCGTGGTATCAGCGGTGTCATCGTCGCCATTTGGTTATTTTTCTTCAATTTTCCATTAGTCACAGCCTTGTATTACACGATAGGGGCAATTTTGTTAATATGTACGTCTTAAACACCGAACGAGAGCGTGATTTTTCAACCGCATGACTTTTGAATGCTAAATTCTGCTATTTAGCCGGAGAGATTTGGATATGGCTGGGAGTCCTGCGATTGTACGAATACAGGACATTCAAGTAGCCCAGGAAGTCGAAATTCGCGAGGAGATGCAAGGAAAAATTGGACCAGTGTTTTATCGAAAATTATATTTTATAAGCTACGTGTACACAGTTTGTAATAAAATATATCAGTCGTCATGCGAAGGGCATCAGTATACTCGAATAAACGATAGGACAGTTTAAAGCGTCAGTCGGACACTTTGGTTTTGGATTGACAATCCGAATTTCCGGACAGTAGTATAATCTGCGAGAAATGAAATTATTTAGAAAATTATTCCATCGGTTTTCATTCTACGTTCAGTTTTACCTCGGACAATATCTCTCTACCGCTTCTCTTAACGTGTATTTCCCATTGTAACTGTTTCTCGATATTTCTTGGACGACGAACCCCATGAAGGCTTGACACGGCACTCCCGTCAGCTGAATATCGTTTTCTGGCTCTATGGTTGCCAATTTGTCCGGTAGACACTTGTCCTTACTGCTGTCGAAAGAAAAGGCAAAATTTCGTGACTCGGTTTAGGAGAAGAAAATTTTTCAGATTTGTAATTCCGTTCTGACTTGCAAAGGAAATTCTTCATGGAATCCAGATTGCAGAACATGCTCGGTTTTAGCGCGATCCCAGGAACGCTCCAGAGCAATTGTGCTTTGGCTGCGATTTCGAGCACCTCGTCGTCCAATTGTTTCGCAACTTTCGACAGTTTCGAACTGCAAAGAAATCGTTGGAATGCCTGGAACGACAGCGAAGTTGGTATTCGATCTCACCCTTTGAAGAATTTATCGATCGACACGTTGATGTTCCTTATATTTCCATTTCCAAGTACCAATCGTTGCCTAAGCCTATCCTCCGGGCTCAGTATCGAGGAATGATAGTTATTCGAATCGCTCAATCTAGATTCCAGCCTTGTTCTATTAATACTCGACTGATTCAAGCCTTCCTTATTAGGCTCTTCCTTCATTAAATTTATCAGGTACACCTACGGTATGAATTCGCGTTAGAGACGAATTGCCAGTTTCGAATTTCCAGATTTTACGTTAAATTCGGGATATCTCCTGGCAGCAGTCTCGATGTAGCAGTAGTCGGTCGTGGACCAGTTCTGGTTCTCCAATTTGAAGAAATACGCGTTGGGCGATGCTCCAACTTCCAGGAACGAGATTTCTTCTATTCTAAAATATCGAACGATCTTTGTAATAAGTATACTTTAGAACTCGTTCCGTTCAATCCTCTGTTCGATCGTCGTAAATTTATCGTGGGCAATTTTTCGCAGGAAGATCCTTTGTATCGTCACCTGTTACCGACGACTGTGGGTACACAGATGGCCACCGTGAGGAAGATCAAGAAGACCAGGCTTCCAATGATCAAACAGGCTGCCATGAACGCTACGAATAAGTCTGCAGGCCATTTTTGTAGCCGATTGACAACGCCTTTGATTATCGGCGTTTCGCAGGGTGGATCTGAGAACCAGTCGATTTTCCGGCCGTGACTGTCAGGGTAGAGGAGTGACACGTCCTCTCGAAAGGGATCTGCAGTTTTCGATAAAAATAGCGTGTAGAATATTCTGAAATTCGTCACATTCTGATTTAGCTCTTAATTAATTCGAATAACCGAAAGAGGCTGCTATTCCTGTCGAATCTGTCAATTCCAATGCCTAACGTGTCTTAATCCCAACGATTTCGCGAGTGACACGAAACTAATTTTGATCTCGAGCCAAGCGTGCTCAGTTCGGCACTTGAGTGACGAATCCAAAATTCCACGATACTATCCGATCAGAAAGGCATGTAACCAACGCGAAACTGATCGAATCCGCGTGTCTGCCCACTTCTCGATTATTGCTTTTAACTCGTGCTGAACTTTAACCCGTCGTCTTGGCAGCGAATTGCCTCGAGATATATCCAATCAGTCTGTCGCTCACGAGATTTCGGAAACTCGAGTGGAACGGTTCTAAGCGATCGAACGACTATAGTATAATGGCTTTCCTAGAGGCTTCTCGTCGATCACTTACCCTTCGTGTTCGGCATAATGTCGATACTTTCACACTGCTAATGTCGTTCTCGTCTCCGGCCGTTTATGCAGTTAGCTCCATTCGCCAAGTCAGCATTTCGCAATAATTGGCCGTATTTAAATTGAGTCACGACGATTTGCCAGACTACGGAGGTGGACTGCGTCGTACCGTTGGCATAATGTTCAAAGTGGAGCATCGAAACGCGTTTAGGCACGACGGAAGCACGCGAATTGGGAATCTTCGCGTGGTGAAATAGAAGGTTATCGGTGTAACGCTCATTTGTTTCTCGATACATCGAATTCGATCGTCACGCGAAACTATAATTTTCCCTGTATTCTATTTTTATTTCACGACACTCGCAAAACAGAACGCTCTGTGCTTATTTCCATATTTTCTGTTTCAGAGAACAATGAAAATTTAATTCCATATGACGATACGATAACGAAGTTCTGATAACGAAGTAGCTGTTTATGTAAAGAAGAAATTTTCCACATGGTATAGAGGATTCGCGTCGATTTTCAATCTCACGACTGGATATGAGGAAGAGAGAGAGAGACGAATTTGGTGCTAGGTTTTGAAGTAGTCTTTATTACAAATAACATCTTCACAATTTACGCTAGAAGTCACGATGGCAGGTATCCATGTCCAGGAAGAACACTGGGAGCTACCATTTCAACCGAGGTTTCTCCATCCACTCCGCCTAAATAATATCAGAATAATTTAATCTGATTCGCCCTGCGGAACGAATCAAATAGCTGAGAAGCTCTCGAAGCGGCTGTCGATTTCGTGCAAGCCTAATCTCTCGATCGATAGTGTCTTTTACTGGGAACGTTTCTATATACAAACGTCGAGCTAATGCTTAGAATACCGTGGAAGCAATAAATATTAACGATGCTAATTTATTTCGACAGTGAAAACGCTCGTTACATTCTTTCTCATGGAAATAGAAAGTAAAATCAAGGCACTTCTTTCCTTTGCAATGGGATGACTAATTTTCTTCTAATCAGAAGCTACGTTCCTTTCGCTCTTCGTCGATATAGTTTTTTACAAATTTCTTACAAACTTTCGATACAGTTTAAACTGTTAGATTAGTTTACAGCGAATTGGCAGGAATAAATTGGCGTTGGTAAATCTAATTATGCATGGAAACGATTGTTATATCGATGACTTCAGTCAGACATCGTTAACGTATAATACCTTAACATTTTGTACGTTCTACATTGAAAAAATATACTTCTGGATCGCTTGCTAGATGCTTTCGTTACGCCTAGTCGATCTTTATATCTAAATCTAACGAGTACGCCGACTTTAGATGCTTAAATTTAATTCTTCGTCATCTGGGTTTCTAAATCTCTCAGCAGTTTTCATCAGTTGCGAAATCTTATTTATTAGTTAGAGCGTTGCCTGCTTCGTTTTCGAAATTACCTCGCGAGTGTCTCTAACGAAGCCTCCGAAAGCTTTGTCGTTCGAACGAGGACAGTTACGTTCACGATTTTCTAAGTGATTAATTTTACTAAATTGGACGAGCGAACAATTTCATTGACTCGTTTAATTATTACACATGGAAGCTTCGCGCTAACCGACCTGCGGTTTAGAGTGATTTACAATAGTCGTAAAACAGCGAATCAGAAAATAATTGTGCGTATCTTCTACTTAATTTACGTCGTATAGGATATAAATTCACAGATAACTTATAATATAGTTGGAAAAAAATCATTACGCGTCATACACGAAGAATATCTCACTACCACAACACGTTCGTTGATACTTTTCCTCTCTCTTACTTTTTCAACCCTCGAGCACGGTCTCAACCACGATCTGGTTAAATTCCACGTAAATTTGCCTCGATTTATCTCGCATACCCTTTTTCAATGTAAAATCATTGTATCAGATATGGTTATAAAACGAATAGAAAGTCGGTGCACGTGCAATCGAAAGAATGTCCAATCTTGCCCGGAAGAATTTAAAATAAAATGGCGACGGTACGCGGTACAACGTTCATTGCTTGTCCAATTATTTAATCGCTTCCAGCATCGGTGGTCGAGGGTTGAGCAAGAGCAACCACGAATACTTTGCTTCGGAAATAAAAGTTAGCTAGTTTCGACTGTACAACAACACGATTGCACTGGCACTGTAGAAGCTATATGTTACATTAGGAGAAAGGCACACTTTCCTCAGACGCTCGTGTAAGAGATCACCTGCTTCGCGACGACGTTCTTCTCGTTGTATTTGCGAGAACCACCGTCGTTTGCCAAATTCTTCGTCGATTCCTCGCTATTCAACGAGCTGTTGTCGCTGTTGGGCCTCGACAAAGCTTCGTTCACGTCCTGAAGCTGTGCATTCTCGTAGCTCCTCCTGTTTCGCGTGATCACAGGCTCGTTAGGAACTCGGAGATCCTTTCTGACGTATTCCGGGCTGGAACTCCATTGCGTTCCCTCGTAGAAGCCGGACTCTGGCGACAAATCGGACACTGGAGAAATTGGTAATGATGGATCTGGTGACTGATGATACTTTAAGGGAGTGGTGTACTCGTTGGGTAATAAATTAGGGTCTGACAGTGATGTCCTGTTGCCTTCGGATAATACCTCTTGCCGTCGAGACGATTTAGGGAATTTCTCCATTTCGATCATCAATCTGTCGTCGTTCGAGTTCAGTCTTCCTCTCACGTCTGGTTCATGGATCTCCTTGGATCCTTTCGCGCAGATACTCTTCCTAGCAGCGTTTAGATACTCTCTGCTTCCCGCGTGTCTCTTGGCAGCAGTGAAATTCTCCTTATTCCCGGTCTCCGCATTTTTGTTGTCTAAAGGTATCAGCAGATACTTCCTGGACCCATTCAGATTCCTCCTGGACCCATCCAGAGACCTTTTGTCCTCGTCCATGCCTCGCAGGATATTTCTATGATAGAGACTTCTCTTGGAACTGTTGAGAGATCTCTTCTCCTCGTCCAACAGAGAATGCTTCACCAGGTTCCTTCGATTAGTCGATTTCAATAACAATGGACTCCCCTCTCTAGATGTTTCAGGCTCTTCGAAGATAATCTCCCGGCTGTTCTTCAGGATCTCTTTATTCACTGCTTCCGGTAATTGTTGTAGATCGACATCGGCCATGACCTGGATACCGTCAGGATCCAAGTCCAGGATCTTGTAATGGCCATGATCACGATTAGGTATCCCAGGCCCATGATAGGTCGAGTCTCTGTAAGCGTTTCGGCAGGTGGTCGCCTCGTCGGCGCTAGTTTCGCTTCTGCCGCTGTCCACGTATGTCAGGTGATGGTTCGGATGGTGATGATGATTCGTTACGATCATTGGACGGTGACCGCAGTGACACTGGCTGTCCTGACAGGACTCCATTAGGAAATCCTCATCGACTATCATACCTGTAAAATAGTCTGCCGCTTAGACGAATTGGAATTTTAGCCTCACCCATAGAGTAGATAGGATTGTTGTATCGCGAACGGGTAATATTTGGATGGTTAATCGACCTGAGAAGTGTACAGATGTGAGGAATGCATGCTTCGACGTGGTACTCGACTCGTATTATCTTAGGATTATCTCGAAAGAACCAACAAATACCAGTTTGTTTAAAGATGATTTAGTAAATGTGTGGCTCAGTGATTGCTTGTACTTATGATACCCCTTTACCAACAACCTTTCAATCGCATCGTATCGTGTTGCGAAACGATGTTCAGCAAGATGTTCATCAGGACGCCACGGAATTAGGACAACACGAAAGACAGACACAAGCGCGAGACGGACAGATCAGGATCTCCTATCGAACGTCTGAAACCTATCAGCCCGGGAAAATTCGTAGAAAATTCCTTGACTCTTCATAGCCGGTTCATATTTTTCCTAGTATATCCTATTTGGTTTGGCTTAAATTAGATCATCTTCTCTATGGTTATGCCTAAGATCATGAGACTCTGTCTCGGTTTCCTCTGTTTCTTCCCCTGTTTGTTTCCTCCCGTTCTACTTTCCTATTCGATCGCTCGAAACAGGGGCACGTTTCGTGTCCGTAGAATCGTTTAGGCTCCCGAGCTCTCGTCGATCCATGGAATGTCAATGTGAAGTTTCGGTGATCCGTGGGAAGAGTGTCCTTGAGAGGCAAGGAACTCCGGGGCATCCGCTTGGTTGGTGCTCAAGATCACAGGCGCGGATTTCGGCTCGCTAGGAATTTTCCGCAGGCTTCCATCTACGGTATATACCAGCACCAACAGGGTCAGAGAGACATGAACGAAACCCGTTCACAGAGTCGTGAAACACATGCAAAGCGAAACGAAGCGTTGGAAGCGCACGAGGCTATGCGGAGAGCATGATGAAGCGAGCACGAGGCAGGCGGGTGGATGATATCGATTAGTTTGATTCGCGTGTGCATCCCAATTAGCGCACGTGGTCGGCCTTGTTGTATCGTTAGTCGTTGTTTTATAACGTGTTATTGCCTGATGCCGCACTACTAGACGCATGACGGAAAGTTTTAATTACACCGGACATTCCGCTCTAGTAAAAGTTGGACAATTCGAGCTCCGTGACACGAACACGGTGTCGAACTCGTGGCAATACGAAAACAGGGGTGAGCAGTTTGCTTCGACATAGGTCCAACGTGATTCTGACCTGCACGGAACGGAGACATTCTCCATTTTACACGGGATTTAGAGTAGACGCCAATGACAAAGAACCTACGTGACCTGCACGGAACGGAGACATTCTCCATTTTACACGGGATTTAGAGTAGACGCCAATGACAAACCGATCGACCGATTCACCCCTGAATCCGAGTCCGTATCAACCGTTTCTTCCATCATTTTCTTCCATCAGACGTATCTCGGTAGACTGACATGGAAACTAGGTTCTATTCAATGCCAACTATCCATTCACCGTTCCGATAATCCCAAAGACACTTACCGTTCCCATGACGAAGTTCTTCCTGCACCTTGTAAAACTCAGCGAGCTCCCTGCCCGAGCACAGAGGTGTTCCCACCTGCGTGGTGCTGTTGAACAGGGAATAGTCCACTTCGTAACCTTGTCTCTCCTTCGAGTACATGACCATCGGCTCGAACCTATGGCCCCAGAGAATTTCCTGTGGCAGATAGCTGGATCTAGCCTGAGTAGTTTGCCCGGTGGATTCTATGGTCCCTTCGAGGATGGCCACGATCTCGAACCTCTCTGTCAGCATGTCCTCCGCAGACATATTGTAAAACGGAGACTCCGCGTTGATCTTGTGAACGATGGTAGTCGGCCAGATGAAAAAGAGGTTCCCGTTCTGACCGTCGGTACCCACGGCCAATTCCTGTTGATTCTGCGACAACACTTCGCCTTCCTTCGTAGTTCTGGACCTTATCAACTGCGCTCGTATAGCAGCTCCGATAATATGACTTTTCCTCATGTCACCGACCCTAAACATCAAACAGAGCTCGCCGTCTCTCTGACAGATCACGGCGTTCCTCGAGAAGAGCAACGTTTGAGTTCTCTGTTTGGGCCTGCTCATCTTGGCGAACACTATGCCCACCATGAACGCCTGGATCATCACACCGACGATGCTCTGGATGCACATGACGAAGATCGCCTCGGGACACTCCTCGGTGGTCCCACGGCTGCCATAGCCGATCGTGTGCTGCGTCTCGATACTGAAGAGGAAGCAACTCGTGAAGGAGAAGATGTTGTTGATGCAGGGTGTCCAGTTGTTTTGGATCTGATACGGCGGCAGGTGCTGTTCTTCGAAGTCACCGTGGCTGAAGGCGATCAGCCACCAGAAACCGATCGACCGATTCACCCCTGAATCCGAGTCCGTATCAACCGTTTCTTCCATCATTTTCTTCCATCAGACGCATCTCGGTAGACTGACATGGAAACTAGGTTCTATTCAATGCCAACTATCCATTCACCGTTCCGATAATCCCAAAGACACTTACCGTTCCCATGACGAAGTTCTTCCTGCACCTTGTAAAACTCAGCGAGCTCCCTGCCCGAGCACAGAGGTGTTCCCACCTGCGTGGTGCTGTTGAACAGGGAATAGTCCACTTCGTAACCTTGTCTCTCCTTCGAGTACATGACCATCGGCTCGAACCTATGGCCCCAGAGAATTTCCTGTGGCAGATAGCTGGATCTAGCCTGAGTAGTTTGCCCGGTGGATTCTATGGTCCCTTCGAGGATGGCCACGATCTCGAACCTCTCTGTCAGCATGTCCTCCGCAGACATATTGTAAAACGGAGACTCCGCGTTGATCTTGTGAACGATGGTAGTCGGCCAGATGAAAAAGAGGTTCCCGTTCTGACCGTCGGTACCCACGGCCAATTCCTGTTGATTCTGCGACAACACTTCGCCTTCCTTCGTAGTTCTGGACCTTATCAACTGCGCTCGTATAGCAGCTCCGATAATATGACTTTTCCTCATGTCACCGACCCTAAACATCAAACAGAGCTCGCCGTCTCTCTGACAGATCACGGCGTTCCTCGAGAAGAGCAACGTTTGAGTTCTCTGTTTGGGCCTGCTCATCTTGGCGAACACTATGCCCACCATGAACGCCTGGATCATCACACCGACGATGCTCTGGATGCACATGACGAAGATCGCCTCGGGACACTCCTCGGTGGTCCCACGGCTGCCATAGCCGATCGTGTGCTGCGTCTCGATACTGAAGAGGAAGCAACTCGTGAAGGAGAAGATGTTGTTGATGCAGGGTGTCCAGTTGTTTTGGATCTGATACGGCGGCAGGTGCTGTTCTTCGAAGTCACCGTGGCTGAAGGCGATCAGCCACCAGATCACCGCGAAACCCAGCCAGGAGAGCACGAAGCTCAGGCTGAAGCAGAGCAACATCCAGCGCCATTGCGTGTCCACCAGGGTCGTGAAGATGTCACGAAGGAAACGCAGGGAACGCCTGGAGATCCGGGACTGGAGGACGTTGCAGTCGCCGTTCTTCAGCACGGCTCGCCGACGTAGCTTTCGCGTTGGCCATGCTCTGTACCGGCTCCTGCAAATTAGAATACCCCTTTCAGTAAGCACAATAATCTCGCGAATAGACTAAATTTCAGGAATTTCTCTCGAAATGCTCGAGGTCTTTTAGATTTTTGTCGCGGATAGTCGTTCCTTTCGGCGGTCGTTGCTTTTAATGAATTATTACAGCGGTCATTTGACACGATAAACGATCGTGACGGTGGCCATTTGTTAAGGTGATTGTACTCTTTATGAGGATGGACACGTTTTTGATTAAGAAATTTGATCTTGTACATCACGACTAACCCGTTGTCGTACTTAGGAATGGCAATCTGCTATTTCGGTGGCACCCGACAGATTTCTAGATATTACGACTAATCTCCATCAACGATCAGACAGTCGTCTATCGATTTTACTCGATTTTTACGATAAACACTTGGAGTAATCGCAGTCATCAATTTCGATCTCATGCGGGGCAATGATTACGTTTTCGTGCCGATTGTTCAAGAATGACGTCGGCTTCCGCGAAGAACGCTTCGCGCCATTCGGCCACGGGCAACGTAAAATCCATAGATTTGCATAGAATCGAATCTCAAGCGGTTTAATCACGTTTCCACGCGATAGCACGCGCGATGCAATATTTTTAACTCGCGTAACAGCGAAGGGAATAAATTATTTCTTCGAACACAAGTCGAGGACGTGAGATGCGGTACGAAATTGTCACCAAGGCCTCGTACACTTTTGTACACGCGTCGTAACATATTCCTCGCGGAGATCTCGGATTTGAATAACAAATTTCGTAGATCACATTGTTCCTCTCGATCTATCGCCACCTGCCCGTGGCATTCCTTATTCGCCACGAATCGAACTAGTTATGATAAATCCTAGCCGAGATTCCCTGCCCCCAACCATTTGCGAATCGCGATTTTTGCGCCGCATTTTGCGAGATGCATTCTGCTCGTTGCACACATTCACTGGGACACATTGTCAGACACGCGTTTTTACCGAGCTAAGCGGATGAACGCCTGTAAGCGACGAGTTGACGGAGGATGGAAAATTTTATCACCGAGTTCATCTTTAGCATTCACTATATCGTTCACGAGACAGCTCGAACGTTCGAATCCTCGACTCGAGAAATACTCACGATGGATCTCTTCGCATTTTACGTCATCGCTATTGAACCTTTCCATGACAAAGATTCGACAGTCCCGAAATTCACTTTTATCAATTATCTCTGCACAAACGGACGACACAGGTTCGATCGCGATCGCGGCACATGTATAGACCTCGCTCCGAAATTTCCACAACGATTTTCACTCGGTTCGCAAACGTTCGTGTTCTCCGTAGCCCCTGACGACGTTTTCGCCAGCGAATATCATTCTAACGATTCCGAGGGGCTCGCGTCGTTATTTTATCGTTGAACACTGTTGCCACTTGCTTCTAGTGCTTCTGCCAATCTACTCGAAACACGTTGAAGAGCGGATTCAACATGCTTCTTAATCAGTCAGCGATAACTCGGACGAACTGCGATGCTTGCACGATTCGTGGCGCGAAGCCGGCGGACCTGGTGGGCGATTTCACCGTTCACCGATCTGGAAACGGACGAAAACCACACGGAAATCGGTCGAAAGACGGCACACAGCTGCTGGAATATCGTCGCGAGCAGTTCGATGATCCGTCTGAGACCTTCGTGCTCGCCACCCTTTCATATGGCCAAAAGGAAGTCGCCATTTTGACTCCGTACGATAACCGAGCAACTGTTATCTACCAATTTATTTATTGCCACGCGTAAATCAATCGGTGATTCGCTGACACGCGGTGAACTCCGGGAGGTCGTCTGTCTCGTCGTCGATCAACCTCGAGGATCGATTGTTGTTTCGCGTGGGAAATATTCGAATTGGCCATCGAATCTTCGATTCCGAGTCTTTCTATTCGAGATTTTGTTCCCGTCCGACCACCCCGTGCCATGCTGTTAGATCATAGCGAGCGCGATATTACGCGACCTCGAATAATTCGTCGAGATATCGGTCGATCTAAGTCCTCTGTTATCGGGAACCAATGATAAGGACAGTTAGGAAACGATTTCTATAATCCTATGCTAGACTAAGAAACGATGGTTCTTTTACGTCGACTAATCGCGATACCACGTTTATCTATAGTGGGCCTTGAGGATGATCTCGAAGGTTGTTCGCACTCCTCTGTCAAAATCCGACAAACAAGCGCCCGCTGAATTAACACCTGCGACACGAGGGTATTCCGTTCGCGAGGACCGAGAATGTCTGTGAATTTATTCCATGTTTTCGTAATTGTTTCCTCGTTATTGTCTGGTCGGATAATCAACCGCCAGGGGTGAGCAGCGGAGACGTATTTAGACGTAATTATCCTGTCAATCGTAAATAACGGGGCAGAGACGGAATTGGATCCGCAAGAGAACGTTGTTATTAATTCTTGGGACGTTAATGAATAGCTAATCCCGAGTATCCATTCATTAACGCGGAAGCAACTGCGCAGCTAGAGAACTCTAAGCTGGGTATACAAATTCGCGTCCGAGTGACGTTTTACCTGCTTCTGAAAGACGTTCTCGGGCTCTTCGGCACTTTGACTATGACAGGCATGTTCTGGGTCAAAGTTGGCAACAGATTTTGCTTCTCGTCCCTGTCAGGCGAGGATGACTTCACGCTCGAAATTGGATCTTTCGGAATGTCCCCGTTCATTTTTGCCTGCTACTTTGCTTCTCCTTTTGACACACTCTTGGACTCGAAGGATGGTCTCGGGTTCAAGGCTAACTTCGCGAGATGTTCTTCATGTTTTATTCGAAACTCGTCAGGCTTTCGGCTTCTTCGGAGAATTTTTAGTCGGCTCGACTTTGGTTTATCACGAGTGGTCGTCGGTAACGGTGTCGGCCAGAGATATTAAACGATGCGCTTCAATGCGGCCGCGATTTCTCGTTCCTTATCGTTCAGGAAGGATCAGTGCTGGAAGGATTTTTTCCCCGATCGAGCAAATATCTCTCCGCGTGCCGCGATCTTAAGGTTTCCCGTGCGATCGTAGATAACAGACTTATCGATAGGAGAAAGAATTCCTATTTTTCTTCTCAATTCGCGTTTCGCGAATTCGCAAACTATGTGCTAACTTCCTCTTGAACGAACCGATAGAAGCGAGGAATCGTAAGAAACTACTATTTTCTTTCCAGTTTTGCACGGTTCCCCAGTGATTCGACGCTCGTATGAATCTTCTTATCTCTCACGTTGAATGACGATGATAGTCCAAGGATTAAGTCTTGGCTTGCAACCGCGAAACGTTGAAATTTATCGGGGAAACGCAATTACTTCTCGTCCATTAATTATAGTTAAGCCTTTCACTCATCGACTTCTTTTAGCTACTTAGTCCGGTAATCGTAGGCTATAAAGAGTTTATCTCTCAGTCGACTTCTTTTTCCTATCCGCTGTCAACAGTGAACACAGCTGAGCGTAGCCACTACGCGTCACTTCTGTCTTCGGCTTTGGTTGCTCGTTTAGTAAAAAAATCCACCGATTCGTCTATCGATTTGTCTTCCATTATCCAGTCGCGGTTCTATCGAGTCAGACTTTCGTTAAGCCACCTCTAAGCCTCGGGGATCGAGCGTTGGCGAGATTTCTTCGAGAATTTCTTGCCAGTTCCAGTTTCATTTTACTCCATTTTGTCGTCGATACGGAAGATTAGTCTCGGTGGAAGCCGATGAAGGACGCGACTGACCGTGTTGCTCGGGTGGATAGGTGTCGAGTTTGATGGTGGAGGATCTACTGATGTACGAGCAATGATGTAGGACGTCTTATACGAGCCAATACCTGGCCAGCGGTCTCCACTTATCAGCTACTAACAATAACGTTTGCTCTTTTCATTTGCGAGAAAATGGACTGATTACGTCACGCGGAATGCTTCCCCTGACAGCTGGATTCCTTTTGTATTCTTTAATCCAACATATCGAGACTTTTCGTCGGTTTGGTATTTTAATCCTCCGCTTTCCTTCTCGCGTTTCACTCGAATCCCTGTCAATCGATCGTCACTGATCACCGAATAAAGAATCTTAACTTCCGCGACTGTCAGAGACTCGGTTGTCCAGCAACCGATCCCAAAGACTACTCGAATCACAGCCCCCGAACACGGTCTTCGAACTAGAACCTCGTCCACGCCTGGACACCTTCTTATAACCTCGAAACATCGGTTCACGATTCGCAAAAGTGACGTTAGATACCGAGCTATCTCTCCTTGCAAGCAGATATTGAGCTACCGCCGAGGCAGCGAGAAATCTCGGAAAACAACGTTCACGCGATACACTGCTCACGACGTCTCTCTCTCAATTAGCATTATCTGTTTCCCATTTATAGCACGGTGCACTCTGCTCACCGATAACGTTTTCGACGGCCGTGTCATTGCGCGTCGAGGTATTAGCGCGCACAAACGAGATTTGCGATGTTCCACTGACTTCGTTTGACTGACTGAATGTCCGGGGGCATGTCTTATCAACTAGCAGCCATCTCCTTATCGGCACCGTTCTTGGTGAACCTCTGCGAAATCGCTGATCGCACGTAAACGAGCGCGTATCGCTGCGCGACGAAAGAGGACCCTCTGCGCCTGAATGACGGCTTTTCCCGCGGCGTCGAATCCCGAATATCGGTAATTGCCTTTATCGAAATGGCACCGCGGTGCAATCGGTGTTTTCGCGAAAATGGAAGGCTCGTAGATGGCTACCGGAGGCTAGAAGCTGTCAAAGATTCCTTCTTAACGCGACATTTCGAGCTAATTAAAGTCCAGGGAAATGTTTCAGCGAGTTTGATAGGAAGAGGTGGCGCAGAAACGAGAGAATTACGAGAGAAGTTTATGCCCCGTGATATGGAATCGTGTGTCGCTAATTTGCATAATTTATCGCGGATTTACTTTCTCGAAACTGTTCGCCTTTGTGTGTTTGCCAGCGGTATTAAATGGGACTCAGATTTATCTTGAAATCTGATCGACTTATCTCTTTGAAAAGTCGTGTCTCGCTGATTTATCAGTTTGGAAAACCTTGTTTCGCGACGTGCCCTATGTATACTCGGAAAGATATTTTGGAACGCTGAAAAGACGAAGTTCAAGTGAGATTCGAATGAAATTCTTATCCGATTTCGATGGTATCTTTGTATCAGTGACGAACGTTATATTCCTGATTAAATTATCGTTTCGCTCGTGATTCAATGGAACAGTTCGTATGTAAATTGGAGCTTCCAGGAAAACATTTGGCACTTGTCGACGAAAGAAATTCTAGCCGGAAGGGCTCGATCAACACCGGTAACGTCGAATCGCATTAGCTGTTAGTAATTTATTCGGCGCGCATTATAATGGCGCTATCCCATAGCAGGAGAGGTCGTATCGTTTGTAGGCGTCAATTGAGAACGGTACTAATTCTAGAGAACGACAGCTCGAAAGTACGGTCTCACGTGCGTTTCTGCGACCATACCAGCGAAATATCCTTACCGATCTAACTGTACAATCGACGGTGTTGACCTAAAAATATCGTGCATAAATTCTTTCTATCTTCCATTAAAAATGAAAAATTTCCTTGGCCCCCGTTCTCCCCGCTCGAATTAACAGACACGCGACAGTCTGGACAAAAACTTCGTTCCGCGAACGAAAACGAACGCTGAAAAATATTTGTTAAGCTCCCAGAACATCCTAGAAACGATTAATTACATGCAAATCGAGTCTCCAAACAGGTTCCACCGATCGTAAGGAAAATCTCGTTCTACTCGACAGTCGGCACCATCGTAGTTGATTAATCGCGCACAACGTAGTGGGAGACAGTCCTGACTATCAACGCACAATTTTATAAACCGAGAAAAATAACAAACAGGTTCCAGGGATAGACAGGATCTAGAAATTTTTCGAAATTATTCATCTTATTCGAGACACGAGTGTTGAGAATTAAGACGAAGATGCTTCGCGAGAATAATGATTTTCCGGTATCGAAAGCAATCGTTTAATTAGAATAATAACACGTATTCTACCTCTTTGAACAAAACCAACCAGCTGTCTCGTTTGTCGCGACGTTTGCCCGATCGGGAAGCCAGGATTCTCGTCCTTCTTCCGGTTGAGACGTTCCTCCTTCCCCGGTTCGACATCAGCAGCTGGCCACTTCCGGTCCCAGCGACTCACTTTTCGTGGTGTCTCCGACACGCGGATTAAAAACGGCGCATTAATAACATCGGGTGTAAGCACACTGTGGGTCGAGCTCTCATTGCGAGCTGTCCAACCGTGCCGTGGTCGGTTTCGATAACGAGCTTTTAATTAAACTAACGAGATCGGACGAGTCACGAAGCTTCGGTCGCGCGAGGATTTCCCATTTTCGACCAGGCTGCCTCGATTCCGGATTTTTCGAAAATCCTTAACGTTCGAGCAGCTGTTGACTCTGGAAAACGTTCGTGCGCCAGTTTCGCGACGAAAGTGAATTGCTTTTCGAGAGGCCCTTAATTAGGCTAACGAGATCGCTCGAACAACGACGTGTATCTATGTCGATGGAATTGACGACTTTTAGAAACAATGCCTACGTCGAGGTTGAACGTTTCAAGAATTTCTCTCGACACAGGAATCGCGGCTTTTTCGACGAAGCTTTTTATCGATAGAAAATGGAGGAAATTTTGAGGTCAAGGGAATAGGAATTTTTAACACACGAAGAATTCCAGGTGATTTGTCGTGACACAGATACCGCGATTTTTTAACCTACTTTCTTATCGTGCGAAAGTAAAGTAAATTTTTCAAATATTTAGAGAATCCTCGTTGACCTATTTCAACATCGGAAGCGAGACTTTTAAAGCGAATTTCTAATTTGCAGAGAAGAGGATAAATTTTGAGATAGAAAGGAAGAGGAGCTTTTTAAGATTTTAATTTTTTAAATTCGCGCATAGTTTGTTTTATCTGGAATGAATTTTCCTAACAGCGTAGAATTCAAGTGTCCCGAAGCTAATACATGTTGACTGGCTGGACCACAGCGTATCCGTTGCACGTTTAATCCTCGGAGATAAATACAGCGGATTAGTCGAGCAGGTAATAATTGGATTACTAGTTTGTGTCAGTCCAATACACGTATTCTCTCGCCTTAGGTAATACTCGCCTCTCCGCACCTGTTTATTATCGTTTAGGAGGATTAATAGAGACGCATTCGAATAAAATAATAATCCTGAAAGTCTTCGGCGCAATGATATCGTATACAGAGTAAATATTGCACAGCGTATTCGTATCTTTCGAAATCACGAATTCGTTTAAATTAATTCGATTCTTCGTGGTTATCAAATTATTAAGAGTCGCAGCATGCTGTGAAGTGGCAGAATCTTCGCGAAAATCGTGAACTAGTTTAAATTTAATTCGATTCTTTATGAATATCAGATTTTTAAGAGTCGCCAAATTCTGCAAAGTGACAGAATTTTCGTGGAAATTGCGAATTAGTTTAAATTAAATTGGATTCTTCTTTTAAAAGTCGCAGAATTTCGCAAAATAGCGAATTAGTTTAAATTAAATTCGATTCCTCGTGGTTATCATATTTTTAAGAGTCACAAAATTCTGCAAAGTGTCAGAATTTTCGGCGAAATTGCGAATTAGTTTACATTAAATTCGATTCTTCGTGGTTATCAAATTTTTAAGAGTCGTGAAATTCTGCAAAGTGCCAGAATTTTCCTGGAAGTTGCAAATTAGTTTAAATTAAATTGGATTCTTCTTTTAAAAGTCGCAAAATTTTGCAAAGTGGCAGAATCTTCGGGAAAATAGCAAAGTAGTTTAAATTTCATTCAATTCTTCGTGGTTATAAAATTTTTAAGAGTCTCAGTATTCGGCAAGGTGATAGAATCTTCGCGAAAATAGCGAATGAGTTTAAATTTTATTCGAATCTTCGAGGCAATGAAACTTTTATGAATCGGGGAATTCTGCAGTGGTAGAATATTCGTGAATAAATCGCGAATTACTTTAAATTTCATTCGATTCTTCGCGTCTATGAAATTTTTAAGAGTCGTGGCATTCAGTAACATGGCAAAATCTTTGCGGATATTGCGAATTAGTTTAAATTAAATTCGATTCTTCGTAGCTATGAAATTTTTATAAATCGCAGCATTCAGTAACGCGGCAGAAGCCTCCCGGAAATTGCGAATAAGTTTAAATTAAATTCGATTACTCGTGGCTATCAAATATTTAAATGTCGTAGTATGCAGTGAGGTAGCAGAACCTTCGCGAATATAGCGAATTAGTTTAAATTTCATTCGAATCTTCGTGGCTATGAAATTTTTATGAATCGCAGCACTCGGTGAGACGACAGAATCTTGGCGAAAATCGCGAAGATCCACGGCCTGGGTCGTCTTTCGTCCCGGAAACGGGAAATCCGATACACCGCGAGAAATCGTTACGAGTTTCCGCGATTATCTCTGGTTCCGCGATCACAGATTAATTCGCCACCGGTGACCTTTCGAATAGCAGAAGGTGGACCGGTGTACTCGTTAACATTCTCTATCGTCGCTGAATTAATAGCGTAGCAGGCAACTTCTCAAGCTCAATAATAACCAGATACCGGGTTCTAATACCAACCGGTACATCTTACCACTATTCTAATTAGAGAAAGAAAACGCCATTCGACCGGTAGATTTTCTCTGCCGCGATCTTGGCACAGAATCTGCCTTCTATACAAAGAACAACGAAAGAATGAAAATTCCAGCGAAGCAAACGAAAGAAATTCTCTCAAGGTACGAATATCCAACCATCAGCGATGCAATATGGAATTCTTTCTCTACACAAGACTAATTCTCAACGTAACTCGCTAAAATTTATCCACGTCCTGCCGTTTTCTACGTCTGGCAGCGTATAATTTCGAGCCATTTTTCATTAACATTCCACACGAATCGAGACACGAACAGGAGTAAATTAACCATCAAGGCCAGACGTCTTTTCTTCGCGAATTTTGCAATTCTCCCGTGTGTAACGCGTTTCCAGCTTCCTGATAAATGGCTACGACGTCTTCCAGATAGGTGAATTAGTGGCAGAAGGGTAAACAGTGCGGTGTAAACTCAGCGGGTACGGACGTCGTTAGTCAGCCTCGCAATGCCACGAGAAATATATTGCATCCCGTTTACGTTAATAGAGCTCTGGCTCGATAAATTGTATCTGCTCGATGATAGGCGGCTGGCAAATATAACACCGCAAATAACGCGGCATAATAATCGCGAGGATACCTACGATCATCTACCATTCCTCTAACTGTAACTCTCGCTCACCGATCGACGATCGATGGAAAAACTCGCACAGATAGATGGCGAAAAGATCGAAAAATCGCGAATCATTTAGCTCCTGCCTCTTCGCTGATCTCCTTATCAAATTAGGATCAGGTTAGCTACATCTTTTATTATCAGAGGATCGTCGAAAAGTTTAGCCCCACCCGAGTGATCGATATTTTTCCAGTATTTTTGTTCGGCTATTTAAAGTCTTGTACACAGAATCCGGCGCCAGAAGACGCCGAGAATGAGTTGCTCAAACAAAACGTAACCACGCTCAGCTGAGAGCGATCTCACGGAGATACTCTGCCTTGGGAACCGGCCACGTGATTCGCGAACGGTGTTTTGTTCGGTAATAGTCGCGCGATTATGCTTGCTTTTCTACCACCGATACGTTAGCTCCTTTGCATGCAAAGTAGACGTTTCCGGTTTCACATGGCCGAGTGAAAATGAAATCGTCTTTGACCAAAGATCCAAGGCCCTCTGAAAGCTTCAAGCGACCAGAGTGTCTGGGAATTTCTCTCGAATTATCCAACGATTATCCTGCATTTTGATTAACCGTTTGAGTTCCAAGCAGCACTTGAGGCTTTCGGAGGAACACGATCGAAAAAGCCTGAACAGCGCGATAACGCTTGCCTTAATCGAGTACGAAGAAGTCGAAACGGCGCGATAGCGCTTGTTTAATTTTGTGTCGAAAAATCCCAATCGTCGCAATAGCGCTTGTTGGTACTATGTGACGTACTGCGAGTGGCTGAAAAGAAGTCATCTCGTTCGGTTGCGGCGCAAGAGGGGTATTCCACTAGTACCGCCTATACTCTCGTTAGTAATACCCACTCTTCTATGACACTCCCAAAACTACTATCTCCAAGTTCGGTAACATGTACTTTAACATAGGCGTAAGATATCCGCGAAAGAAATGTTATCTCAGAGTTAACTTACAATGAATTGGAAGCACTACTACGCCAGGCAATAAACGAAACGACACCAAATGATTGGAAAGGATTTTGTAAACACGTAGAAACACTGGAACACGAATATTGGGCGAAAGATGGAATAATAGAAGACGCAACTGAAGATCTAAAATTGGAAATACAAAGCAGTGAGTCGGATATGGAATCGGATGACAATAGCTCGAAGATTTATAAAGTGAAGGAGTATACAAGTAATAATAATTAACATCATTTATGAAAATTGATTTAAAATTTAAAATGTATTTTTTATGATAAATTAATTATGTAATTGCATCATACTAGATAACTGTTTAAAAAAATCATAGGATACAACATAAATATAAAAAATAGCAATGGAAAGTTAATCAAGATACTAATTAGTAATTAGTAATTGCAAATAATCATGTGTTCATCAGAAGAGTCTGAAGTTGACACAATTTTGGGATGAGTCTACGCTCTTGCATCTGTTTGTTGCATCTGTTTGTTGCGTCTGTCTCACTTTGTCTCGTTGTTTCGTTCGCATTCTTTGTCACATGGTGTTCTATGACCGGGCTAATAGGAAGGGATCAGTTCTACCAATAAGGGAAGCGTTTTACTCTACTTCTGCCGTGATGTTAGAATGGTTTGACTGGTGAGGATTCGGTCCAACAAGTTTCTCAGATGACTTCTTTCTAGTAACGCACAGTACGTGCATCAGCAAAGTTGAGCGCACCACTACGACTGAAGAGCGCGATCGCGCTGCTTGGGACACAAACGGTTAATTTGCTTCTGTATTTATCGCACGATAAATGGCCAATGTAAATGGAATTAAAAAAGAAGACTCACCTGGTAGAATCTTGCCGACCGACGCCACCACCGATGCTGCTGCTCTGGGTGCTGACCCTGACCAGGGTAACGTACCTAGGCAGACTGGACAGGGTTCCCGTGTTCCTCTGTCCCAGTAAGGGTGAGTCGGCTGTGTTAGGGTTCTCCGGGAGTGGTTGGTGGCTCTGTACCTCGTTATCCTTTTCTTCTTCCTCCTCGATGGTACCTGGGAGGCGAAAGAGCTTCTGTGGCTCCTCCATGCCACTCGATTTGCTCGCTTCACGTGTACGAATGAACCTCCATTGAGAATATCAAACTCATCGTCCTACTCGTTTGCCTTTCTTTCCCTTTTTCTCTCTCTCTCTCTCTCCCTCTCTCTCTCTCACAGTCCCTTTCTTTTTTTTTATCTTCGCTCACCGATCTCTCTCTTCCTCTATGCTCTTTCTCTTTCGAATTCTCCTTGGAACTCGAACGAATTCGCCTCTCACCACTCGTCCTCCCTCGTTCCACCTTCTTCCCTTCTAATTTTGTCCCTTTGTTTGGTAATCGGCTTAGAATCACGAACGGCGACGCGTTTTTTCGCTCCGTAACCAGGATGAATGAAGTCGCTGGAAGTGACCACGCGACGATGACTCACGGCCGTTGAAGAGCAAAGTTCTGTTTTCTGCCATCGTTTCTTCGTTTCCTCTCACTTTCCTCCGGCATTCACACCGCCCTTCCGTTCGCGGAATCCCACCATTCCTCGTCCCTACGACCGACAATCGATGTCACTGTTAGTCAACTCGTTTTGCGCCATTTTTTTTTATCTTCCTCTCTTCCCTCTCTCCTCTCTCTCTTTATTTTTTCTCTTTTTTTTCGCCTCGCGCTGCTCGATTGTTCGATTATGCGGAGAGGAGAAGCGGAGGGCTGAGGAGGATGCCGATGAATTTGCGTCACGTTGACGGAAAGGTTCCGGAGATCGGGACGGTGACGCGATCGTTATTTCCGGTTTCGGTGGAATTTTAAGGAATTATCGAGCTTTCGCCAATCTTTCGGAATTAACCGTCCGCTGATACGTCGTTAGAGCCGTTTCTCGGTAAAAATGAAACGAAGGAAAAGACACGTCGGGATTATCTTTCTCCTCGCGAAATGTGTCGCTCTCAAGACGAATCGGTTGACTCATTCACGATTTCCTCGCGCAAAAATGACGGAACGCTCGATTTACAGGTATCTCCGTGTTCCCTCGCGAGGTCAGTTTTTCCATTTTCCTGTTTATCGCGAGCACAGAAACGACGAGAAGCGAAGATTCTCGCGATTCTTGTGGACGGCGTCAGGCTGGAGGAAAAAACTGAGATAACGTCGGCGACGGGAAACGGATGGAACGCGATGAGAAAAACGACGTTGGTCTGGTTAGGCCATCGATGAGCCATTACGTAATCGTCTTGCAGATTTTTAGCGATTAAACCGAGTCGTAATCTCTGAATCATCGCGCCTGTCGTAACGCTCGGAACTGAATTTTCGCCGGGGATTAAAGAAAATACGCGGGATGATCGTTTCGTTGGAAATCTCGTTTCCTCTTACTCATCTCCATTTTTTTTCCAGACTCATCAATTACTCTGGCATATCGAACAGAGCGATCTCGGTTCTTATCACGGCCGAGAATAATATTATAATCGCGCGGTGACAAAACACCTAGAAGCAGATATCTCGACAGACGCAACCATAATTGCGAGTACTGTATAAATACCGCGTATCTGGCTCGGTGACATAAATTACGCGTGAATTATACTCTTCCTAGCTTCGTGAATCACCGAATTTCCCTCGCGAGCATGACCTTATCGCGTGTTCGATCTGTTAACGAAAATTTCGACGAAATTGAAAAAGGCGACGAATATTTGTTTTTTTCTTTCTCTTTTTGGAGGAATATCCAATGAAACGTTGACGAAGACAACCGTTACACGAAGTGAAAGTGGAGACCGTTATTGAAGACGAGGTAAGATGAACATGTCTGCTCGTTGCTCCTTTTCGTCCCGACAAGACAAGTTTACGCGAGCGCTACGCGATTAATCGCGTACGTAATTTCCTTGTTTACCACTTGCTCGTTGTTTTCCTCCACTCGTCCGGTAGTTTCTCCGCGGGAACCAACGAGTTCGAAAGTCGAGTTTCTCTCCTCGCGTTCCCGAACGTCGGCGCGAAATTTCGAGAGAGATCCGTTTCCGAATCGAAAGCGAAACGAGACGGGCCAAAAATGGAAGGAACTGGCGAGATCGACTAGAAAATCCTGAATCCAAAAGTCCACCAATCGTAACGTAGACGGACCTCGATAAACTGAGAGAATCGCGAAGCAACTCCGATATCCCGCGAAATGTAAAATGAAGATGGACGATGCTCGAAACGTCGCGAACTGGAAGATGAAATCGCGATAAAGTTTCGAGGATAAGAACGTAAAATATGGCAAAGTGTTTCGGACTCTCACAGATTTGAAGACTGGTCTGGTTTTCCCGCGCTTTCCAGCTGGAGCAGCGCACGTAAGCGCGTCGCACTCGCAACTGTTTCAGATTCCCGGCCGTTGCACGAGATCGTGCCAACGGATGCCATGGCGTTTACCTCTTATGGCGGGGATAATGCAGACACGGTGCCACATACGCGCGGACACGCGTTATACCGCCTGGCACGTGTGCGAAACGCGCCGATTATTCGCGAATTTCGCCGGATGCGAGCCACGAGAGCCCCTCCGCTCGTTCAAATTTTTCGCTCGTACGCGGCTTCCAGCCGCGCCGCGACGTCTGCAATTTATCGCGTCGTTCGTGCACAGATGAGAACGAGTTTCTTTCTATCGGTAACTATTTCCACGAGCTTCCACCAAAATTGCGGAACCGATACTCTAACAGTTGGAAAGATTCCGATTCTCGCAAAAATTTATCCAATTTCGAATAATCGACGCCATTTTATGGGGACTCTTTATCTCGAAATTTTCTCCATTTATTTTTCGCGATCAAATTTTCAAAAGATGGTCGAAATAAAAGAAATATCGCGAATTTAAAAATTAATACTGCAGGTCTACCTGTTAATTAAAAATTTTGCATTCGACGATTTCGTTCTTGTCACTTGACAATTTTTCTTATGGTTTGCGTGTGATTAATTTTTTGATTTTTTGATTCTTTCATTTGTATAGCCGTGATTGGCTTATTTAACACTAGATTTACGGAACCCGTCAATTTGACGGCTGGGATTTAGTTAACTTATATTAACACTGTTAATATTGTAAATGTTTTTAAATTAAACTAATCGTTAAAAAAGAGACACGTGATTTCCTTTACTTGTCAATTTGACAGGTGTGAAATATGTAGAAATAGGTATACAGATAGCGTTGGTAAACTTAGTGTTAATAACGAAGATTTTTCTTTAATTTCGTATTAAACTCTCGATACCTGGCTCAACGTTCGATTCAAAATTCTATATTTAAAATTTTCCAATTTTGATCTCTCTCCCTGTTTCGTTCCTTCCGATTGCGAGATAGATCAGTTGCAATAGCGAATTTATAATTTGTATAAAATTCGGCAGCTCCGGTTTACATTTTATCTCCCGAGCTTGTTTATCATTTAAACGAAAAATTAATTTTGTTTTATCATCGTCTAGCAATTATTTTGCTTATCTACTATCTGCGACCAATTGTAAAAGACGTACCGTTCTTTTATTAATCAATCATTCGTCTGACTCCGTAAAGACAAGAACACCTTAATTTTCCGTAAATTTAGTATCGAATTTTAAAGTTAAAGACGTGGAGAAAATTCTTAGCTTAATTATCCGACCCGAATCCTCCGCGACCCTCCAACGCGAATTACCCAAGAAGCACCTGTTCCAGTCTCGAAAATATCCTTTCATGCAACGTGCAATTTGGGAGTTGTTCGAGTCTCGAGGGTTTGTTAACAAATAACTGCACCCGAACGTCTCGTAGATCTCGAGAATCCAGGACATCTTCTACCCTCGCTTTTTAATGGTCTTTTTTAACACTAGAACTACCATCGGGGTCAAAATGACTGGTTTCTGACATTTTATTTCCACACGCCTGCTTTTGGTAAAAGTTATACCAACTTTCGTTCAAATAGGCTCGCAATTACGTATTCTCTCTTATTTTCTTTATATCCCATTAATTAGTACCGAATGCGTGCACTGTGTTCAGGTATACACGACAGTTCTAGTGTCAATGACCAATTCGAGACGGGATTTCGATAAAGAAAAGGACGCTTATCGAGGAATATCTCGGAACACTTCGCGACGAGGGTACAGATCGGCTTAATCGCGCGGGTGATCGTTGCCACGGAGAACCTGGTGCAGAAGAGGGACGTTTCCGGTAGGGAGAGTGCAGAAACTTGCGCACGTGTGCATCGGAACCGCGATGGTTGGGTCAGCGTGGTCGACACGATGCGATTCTTGCGGTTGAATTCGCATGATCCACCGCAGATGATCCGTATCCGTCAACCGAGCGATCGGGTAATCGCGTTACGGTCTCTCCTCGTGGAAATGGGAATTTACCGCTTAGTAGACGTCCAAATTTGCGGAAGTAACCGTGTGTCGAGAGCGGAATTAACTTGGTCGGATTGGTTCGTGCCCGAGAGGACGAACAAACTTTGCGAGTTCAACGACACGATTTTCGTGACTCTAGTCTTCGCGTTGCATCCTGATTGATACACGATTCTCGTGGAAATTGAGGTGTCTTCTTTTTCGAATTTCCTGCAGCTCTCCGATGGGAAGGGAAGCTGGATGTCTTGGGAAATAAATTCGCGAGTCACGTACGCGTTACACGTGATGCAGAAGTGGCCTAACTTTGCTTTTTGGACACCATTCAGCTGTCGAGATGTTAATTTGTTAAACAGTCTACGAAGGGGGATTAAAATTCGAGTGATTTGACTGATATTCCTCGAGTCGATGCTTACGAGATTGCAAACAAAACAAAACCGATAAACATTCTCGGGAGCGACCTTTTCGTGCGTTCTCGATATCTCTCATGCGGGTTTTAACGACTGGCAAACGGATTTCTTATCGACGAGTGATTTAACGTCTGTTGCACGGTAATTCTCATTGAAGTAGAATGTAAATGTCAGCGGAGTAACTAGCTCCTTGTTCTAGGAACTATTCATTCAATTGTATTGTGTATACGGTTACGTTCATTAGAAGGCGACGATGCATTTATCGATGGTATCTCGAGCGGATGAAATAGAAAGGAAGGTGTCACGATCGCGTGATATCGAAATGAATCGACTGTGAAAAAATCTATCACCTTCTCTGTTACCATATGCGAATTCGCGTAAATTTCTTTCAGATAAACGACTCGGAGTCGTAAATCTTCGCGCGCAGCGCGTACGTTATGATAATTAAACCAGATGGAAATAGCTACCGATTAGCTGTCTGCAAACAGAACGTGACGTACGCTAATTATATTCAGATCAATAACAAAACCGGCGATTTAGTTACACGTGGCTGAAAATAGATCGTAATTCATCACCGTTCGACAAATTGCCATACGCGTATATTTCGTGGAAACGAGAAATTATGCGGAGAGGGAAAAATATGGTAAAACGTCTAGACGGTGCCAAATGGTGGCTTCGCGTTTCATAGTTCCCGTAATCACCGGAATCGTGCACGACACCAGGACGGATTGATTCGTGTCGAGAAGGAACTAGGTTGACACGCGATCGGATGTTGGGAAATTCGCGTCCTGCCTGCCATTAATCACCGATCTTCTGACTGACCGCTTCGTTGTCTTTC